AATTTTTGTAACCTTGTATAATATTTATGCATTACACCCTAATCTTTACTCGTTAAAAATTTCATTGCTAATCATGCATTACTTTTTAAATTAATACACATATTTATGTCTTTGTTGTTTCCGTTCCTTATATTATGGCCACTACTATATAAGAAATATAGTTTTAAGGTGTGCTCTATTAATAAAGTAACAAACCAAGGATTCAGAAAGTGTTAGATGAGTCTAATGATGTTTACGAAGGTGTTTGGAGTGATCACTAGTGATGATGACGTAATGCCTTCATGTTCAATAAAACACTGAACCATATCAACAACACTTCTACAAACCATTTGATGCATTTCAATATTAATTTCATAAAATTCATCAAAAACTGCTTGTTTTAGTTCAGAAATTGTTTTCAGTTCAAGACTAAACAAGATCTTTGAGTACACCCCACAGGAAAACGTCTGGTGGTGTTAAGTCTGGTGATTGTGAGGGTTACTCAATTACTCCCGTTGCTCAATTACTTCCTATCCATCTCAGATGAAGAAGGAAAAAAAGTGGGTGGGGGCATTACTTTTGTCGTGCCCTTTATAGTTGTATTCCTATAATAGTCACAGAAATTTTTTCCCCCCACAGGAATTAACCAGAGTAGCCTCCCTTTATGCATTCATTTACAGTTTGAAGTTGATTATCCCCCTTTTTGGTTGATAGCTTTTTAAAATTTGTTTAACAGTTTCGAAGGATTCTTTTATTTTATTTATTTATTTTTTTAACATAACTCGAGTTGCAGCACATTATTCTGGTCTTTAGCAGCTGGAAGATAATTTTTTCAAATTCTTGTAACTTTGACAGCATAACGAGAAAAATCTACTCGCATAGATAAAATAATAAGCGTTCAGTTTGAAATTCCCTGATCAATACACAAGGATGAAGGCCAAAGAGCACAACAGTCGAAATGTTGTGATAATAACAAAGATGAGGACAACATTTACATTCGGACTCAAATGTAAACAAGGTAAATGAATGCAAAACTGATTTTAATTGATGTATAAAAAAAAAATGGCAGCTGCTCTGGGAACTTTTGCATACAACTACATACGTTATTATTACTTTTATAGTAAGGGATTATTATTATTATTACAGAAACATTTCGATTTCATTTTTGCCTTGAAAAAGTTGGAAGACGAAACGCGTCGGCAAAATGTAAGATTTTTTTCCAATTGTCATTTGATACCAATCTGTCTTGTCCACAGAATTATTTGGGCACCTCGACATGGTTAAATGGTTAGAAAGCTTGTCTTGCTAGATCAATTACGACTGAGTAGTGAGTTTGATACTCGCTGGGTGCCCCATACTTTTGGCCTTGTGCCATATCTAAGCCGGGCTTAGAAAATCACTATATATATATATATATATATATATATATATATATATATATATAGTTTTAAGGTGTGCTATATTAACAAACCAAGGATTCAGAAAGTGTTGGATGAGTCTAATGATATTTACAAAGGTGTTTGGAGTGATCACTAGTGATGGTGACGTAATGCCTCCATTCATCTTCCCACAGGGCCTCAAACAACACTGAGGCCTACATCAAGTGACTTAAAGAGGTAGTGCTGCCCTGGGTCAAGAGGGTGGCTGCTGGAAGACCCTATGCCTAGCAACAGAACTCTGCACCATGACATGCAAGCAAGAGAACACAGTCATGGCTGTCAAACAATTTCTGTGACCACATCACTGTTTAAATCTGGCCACCAAACTCTCGAAAATGCAACCCCCTTGATTATTATATCTGCATGGAGGGGGAGACAGTTGAGCAAGAAACCAACAAAACTCCTTGTAAAAACCAAAGGCAAGGATTATGGCAGCACTCACTAACTTAAACAAAGAGGCCATCCAAAAGAGTTTCAGGAGATTCTGAAGTTGTCTGGAGGCTGTGGTTGGAGCCAATGGTGATTTTATTGAATAAATTTACTCTTTAGCATTTCAAGATATTTTTGTGTAGTTTTGGTAAATATATCTGTTAAAATGAGATGTCCATGTTATTTTCATTTTTGTGTAATTTAGATGACAGTTCTTCCATCGCACCCTGTGTATAAAATAAAGTAGAGGAAGAGCAAAGACAAAAAAAAAAAAATTACTGTCCACAAAGTAATGGATCATAAGATATAACACAAAAAATGGTTGGGACAATCAGTCATCACTTCTCAATCTTTGATTTGCTCTGAAGAACAAAGAGTGATAATTGGTTAGACTTTTTTTTTGGTTGGGTGGGGGTTCTTTTTTATTATATTTTTTGAATCATCACTTTTGGGTGAGTATTTTTTTTAATTTTTAATTCTTATTTTTGTTCTTCCACCTTCATTTTAATATATCTGCATAGATATTTATTTATAATTTTTAAAATGTTCACTTATAAGGCCTTAATTATTGATTTTAATAAATATCACAGTAGCATAGCAAAGATTACTTTTGTGAAGTTTTTAATTTAAAAGTCATAAATTAATAAACAGATATACATATTTTTGATAAATTTAAGCATTTCAATTTATATACTTGAATTTCATTTATATATATTCCAAATTGAATTTTTTGAATGATTAGTTTTAACTGAAACATCAAAGAGTAATGTAGTAGCATTATAAAGGTGAATAGTTTTTTAAATTCATACAAAGGTAGACTTTAAGGAAATAAGATGAAGACAATAGTCTGAATGTAAATAGTGAAAATAATGATAACTCCACATCTTAGAAATTGAGGCATTTAGAAATTAATCAAAAATGTTTGTTTACCTGAATAGATTCAGCCAATAAAAAAAATTTAGCAAGTATAGTGGGAATATTTTTGTTGACGTAAATGTGGTGGATGACTCTTAGCACCAAAGGCTCAGTTGGTGTCACACTCTGGACGTACACGCCTCTTCCAAATATGCTATTAAATGTGAGATAGACAACACCTGGTCCAATCTGCAATCAAAGGTATAGAAATATCAGAAATAACCATTTCAGTAGATTCATTTCTGAACAAATAACTGATGTTTCCATTTCACTTCCCCTCATTTGTAAAGAAAGGGGATAAATTTTTTATTTATTAATCCAGCAGTATTTTATTACATTATTATTTTTAATTGATAGTTGTATTTGAGTACACGCTTTATTTATTAAACTGTATATATATTTATTTCGATTTACTGGCCTGAATATTTGAGAAATCTTATGAGAAAAAAATATATACTTTGTGTTAGGACTTGAACTTGTGATCCTCTAAGACGGTGATTCTAAACCAATGGACACTGGGGTTTCCATGTTACATTACTGGGGTTCACAAACACACACAAAAAAAAGTAGCGAATTGGGGTTTCACAGTAATATTTTCACAGACGATGGTGCAATTTCACTTTGGAATGGTTGTTCTAAATGAGAATTGGAATTTCTACAGTAATCTTCCCATCTATGGAACTCCCTTCCTCTTATTTGCTTCCCTGATAGCTATAATCTCTAACTATTCAAATGCAATGTCAATTGACATCTCTAGATGCCTTGATCTATTCCCTATCCTTCTCTTCATCTTTTCCTCTTTCACGCTTCTTTACTTTTGTTCCCACTTTCTGTAACCCCTTGCATGCTGGTAGCACTCCTGCCTTGCTTGGGGTGAAAAACTTAAAAAAAAAAAACAAAAAAAAAAACTACACCATGTTAAAATACTAAAAATAGAAACAACTCTAAAACTAACAGAAAATGAGATCAAGTAATGTAAGTTTTAGCATCCCTTTTACTCTACCAGATGTTTTGATTGTAAAAGTTGAATAAAAACTGAGAAGGATATATAAAATACTAGGCATTGAGAGCAGCTCCTCTCAGACCTGGTTATATGTTAAACTTACAATTGTTGAACTTTATTTTCTGGACCAAAGTTTTTAACTGAGAATTGATTATTAAATTGTCAATTAAAAAAAAAAATATTCAATATATAAAATAAATAAAACAGTTGAAATGAAATCTTTTAAAGATGCTTTAAGTTTTGTCCCAGAAATTATTTATCATCTTTAGACAGCAAGCAGCTTTAACAGGATTTTTTATCCTGTGAATAAATCATTGTGAATAATCAGTTTTATTTTTTTCCTTTTAATGACTTCAAATTGATTCTTTTGAGACAGTTTCAAATAAATTGGATTCTTTCATGCAATCATATTTTGTATATTTTAGCATAAATTAAATTCCATTTTAAAGTAAATAAATAGGTCATGTGATATTCCATAAAAATGAGGCATATGAGTTTCATAATTATTATCAATTTATTGATCTGTGTATAATATTGGCAAAATCTATCAGAATATTAAACAAATTTTTGTGTTCATGCCTTTCCTGTTGCTTTTCATAGCCCATTTTACTGTACTACCAATAAGTTTGTAAATGGAAGTAGAACATGTTAAGTATAGGGATGTTTGCGTTCATGCCTTTCCTCTTGTGTTCATAAAGCCATTAAAAAAAAAAAAAAATTCAACAAAAAATGAATAAATAAATGAAACAAAGATATTTACTTGTTTTGCATGAACATCCAAGTTGAGAACTTTGAAAGTGAATCCAAAGATTTTGAGATAGTGTTTCAGGTGGAGGGAGGCTGTGTGTTCTTCAGGGGGTGGTTGTGGGCTCCATGCAGCCGTCCATGTATGTTTGACAAAGTCCCAAATACTCACATTCATATTCTGTAAGTCATTGCCAGCTACAATGCCTGGTCCATGCACTTGACCAAAATGGACAGTGTCAGCACCATTTAGAGGAATTTCCTTGAGAGACAGACAAAAAAAATAAAAATTATGAAAATATGGAGAAAAAAAAAGATCCTAAATCATGTTATTTAAAACAACAAAAATATTTGAAATGTTAAAAAAAAAAAAAAAATTCCTGAATGAGATTTCTATTAGTTAACTATCACACTACAGTAGGACAAACAAACAATGATTTTAGGCCTTTTAATAACAAATCATATAGCAAAGAATGGATGTGCTGGCCAGATTAGTCTGGCTGAGTGAAAATAGGCCATAGAGAGAAGTTTCCTGAGAGTAAATGATAGGAATACCAGATCTCATTGGTCATTGTTAAAAAAGAATAAAGAAAAAGAAGAATAAAGAAAAAGAAGAATAAAGAAAAAGAAGAATAAAGAAAAAGAAGAATAAAGAAAAAGAAGAATAAAGAAAAAAGAAGAATAAAGAAAAAAGAAGAAAAAAGAAAAAAGAAGAATAAAGAAAAGAATAAAGAAAAGAAGAATAAAGAAAAGAAGAATAAAGAAAAGAAGAATAAAGAAAAGAAGAATAAAGAAAAGAAGAATAAAGAAAAGAAGAAAAAAGAAAAGAAGAAAAAAGAAGAAAAAAGAAGAAAAAAAGAAAAGAAGAAAAAAAGAAAAGAAACAAAAAGAAGAAAAAGCTAAAGGGTTAGAATTGGGATTTCCGGTTCCTTCTAAAGTGCACTTGCACTTTATACTCCTAACGTTTCAGCTTAAACACTGATATTTACTATTTTTTTTCTTTTTCTTTCCTCAATAGGAATATATACGTTCACGCTCCTACCTGGCCTTTTGAACAGGCGTAGAGATTTATCCCTTTTTTTTGTTAAGTATTGGGTCCCAGTTCCTTCTAAAGACTTTTCATTTTCTTTCACTCCCAGTATCCCCTTGCAGCTTAGTGGCATTATTGCCTTGCTTGGGGTGAAATGATTAAAAAAAAAAATGCCACTAAAGTGTCATTATTCTCTCATATCTTTTCACAGGTATTTAAAAAGAATTCTGCTGTCATAAATTGTTGCACAGTCTAGTTGTTGGATGACTAATAACAGTGGTGGAAATAAATATAAAACATCTCATGAAATTGTTAATAATTTTCTTATTATTGCACAACTTCCTCTGTGTGTGGTACTTAGATCCGATGGGTATTAGTATACATATTCGAATTTATAACAACTTTCCACCAAAAAAAAAAAAAAAAAAAAAAAAAAGTTATTAACAAAACTTCCTTTTCGAAGGTGGAAATAATTATAAGACAGTTTTGAAAATTTGCATATCTGGTTTACTTCAGAATGCCAAAGGAAGAATAAGCGCATGCGCAGATTATAAAAAGATGCTTATCATTATTTTAAGACACGTAAGTCCTATTTAAACATTTCATAATTGAATACAGTTACTGCAAAATGCCTAGGAATCCCCTCCTCTTAATGAAAATGAAAAAGGTAAAAGTTCTTTCCTATAAACTGGAAGGAAAATCTCTAAGTTTCATTGCAAGAGAACAATCGAGGACCCGAACAGTTGTGAGAAATTATCTAAAGGACACTGAATCGTATGGCACCAGAAAACGTCCAGGTCATTCACCTGAAATTGCAAATGCATACCAGACGTCGACTTTTTCGAGAAGCTTCTAAATGACAATCAAGCTCAAGAGATCTGCAAAAATCTCAGAATTTACCCATCACTCCAAGAAGAGTTCGTTAACTTTTCCATGGATCGCCAAATCTCGTGTATCGAAACAGGAAGACAGCTCCTGCTTCAACTGCTAAACACAAGAAGATGCGCATAGATTGGGTAAAGAAAAAAGTAATATGGGCAAAGGAGAAATGGGAAACCATGGTATTTTCTGAAGAGAAAAAGTTTAATTTGGATGGGCCCGACGGCTACCAGTGTTATTGGCATGATTTAAGAAAGGAGAAGCAGATGTTTTCAAAAAGACTATATGGAGGAGGATCTGTTATGGTTTGGGGGGAGCTTTTTCTACATATGGAAAGGCTGATTTAATAGTGATAGAAGGGAAACAAAACACTGCTTGATATATCAATGTGTTGGAAAAAAGTCTTGTCCCATTTATGAATCGTCTAGACACCAATAATGCCATTTTTCAACAGGACAACGCAGCTATACACACTTCTAAGCTCACGAAAGACTGGTTTAAAACAAAAAAAATATTGAAGTTTTGGACTGGCCCACTAAGTCTCCAGATTTAAATCCAATAGAAAATTTGTGGGGAATTTTGTCAAGAAGAGTATACAAAAATAAACGTCAATTTGAAGATAGAGAAACTTTAAAATCTTGCATTAAACAGTATTGGAATGAAATTCCACTTGAAACTTTCAGAAAACTTATTGATTCAACGTGGCGTGTTGAAGTATTACAATTGAAAGTGAATAAATGTAAATATTGAATTTTGTACAATTTTGCTGTTAAATACGAATTTTCAAAACTGTTTTATGCTTATTTTCACCCTCGAAAACGTATTTTTCTTAACTTTTGGGGGTGGAAAGTGGTTATAAATTCGAATATGTATACTAATACCATTACCATTGGATCTAGGTACCACACACAAATTTTCAGAGGAATTTGTATAGTAATAAGAAAATTATTAACAATTTCATGGGTTGTCTTATATTTGTTTCCACCACTGTATTTGTTGCTCAAAATGAGGCTCAAAATGGCTGCCACCTCAACTGAATTTGTATCAAAGAAATAGACAATTATAAATTTTTTGACATGCTTCCATTTGCAGAATTACAAAATTATTGTCTATCCAGGATTCAGTTATAACTTATGCACATGTCAAAAGGTAATTTAGAGATGCAGATTATCTTCCTTTTATAGAATGATTTACTAAGTCGACTTTCGGGTTAAGTGACAGCCTATTGGTAGTATTTATTTAGTCTCCTCATTGAGATGGGTTTAATGTGAGGAACCCGAACATGTACACTCGGGCCAGGGCAAAAATTATCCAGCACCCGTGACTCTTGGTTTTGCTGGCATCGGTATGACTACCAATCCCCTCTCTCTCTCTTGTGCAATGAGTGGGGAGCAACTGTGGGCAGCTATTAGCCGGGACTGGGCACCTCACAGTATTTTTTCCCAACTGTTTCCCTGTCTGTAGACAGTGTCATAACCAAGTCAAACTATGTCCGAAGTCAGAGATGATAAGCCTACCCGGCATGGGCCGCGGAAGGTGTGACAGCCTGATGGTGATGATACTTTAGTTGCTGCTTAGATTCTGAAGAAGACAAATGTGGCAGTTAGCATCAGTTTATTGGACAAATAAATGCCATGTGTCTTAAACAAGAACATAAAAGATATCACCAGAGCTGTACTGTGCCTCTTTTAGGAACATTGTAAGTAAAAACTTCTATTTATCCATCCCATCATATGCTGCTCGCTTTTTCTCACGAGCGTTTTAAATTTCTGACCAATATATAATACCTGGCCACTCGTATTCGAGGATACCAGCCTACTAGGCCGGCTAGCCAATCCCTATTGCAGACTCTCGCTCAGGCACATTTGTGTTTGTTCAACACCCATAGAGCAAACCTGTGTTTTATACTGCAACTATGCTGAGCAGACCTTAGTTACAGTTTCTGGGAGAGAGCCTATTATCTAGAATGATTAACAATCTAAACAACACCAGCACACTCAAACCCTCGGTCACGATGACTTGTGACTTCGTTCTGGCACATATACTGACGGCCCCAAATGCCCCGTCTACCCAATTTCACTCACAAGGCCAACCCTATATATCTCACATCTTGGATTATCTTTTGCACACCAGCAGGTATTCCGTCGTCTTACAAGAGTGATCAACAATTTGAACAGCAACAGCACACTCAAACCCTCGGTCACAATGACTTGTGACTTCGTGCTAGCACATATATTGACGGCCCCAAGTGGCCCGTCTACCCAATTTCACTCACAAGGCCAACCCTATATATCTCACATCTTGGATTATCTTTTGCACACCAGCAGGTATTCCGTCGTCTTACAAATAGTTGTTAGTCCTTTTTCACTTGTTTTATACTTCGTTCATTTCAATTCTGAATCTAGTATCAATAATAAATCTTAGGTGGATTTCTAATTCTTATTAGAATAATCTCCTTGAACAGGTTAAATAAATCTAGCGAGAAAGCAGACAATTGTCACACACCTCGTTCAATTTTGACATACTCAATTCGTTGTCTATTTGCAGACAAGCCGTTTGTTCCCATTAAATAAGTAAAGGGCTCTGTTCTATAAAAGTCATGTGAAATAAATGTGAAAGCACTAACAGGGCACTATTATGCGTGCACGTCATTGTTTTTACAAGCTGCGATATCACGGGGATAGAGCTATTAAACAAATATGTCAAAACTTTCATTCACTTCAACGATTACATTGTACTGATTATTATATGTACATCATGAATAATTATGGAAATTCATAAGTTAAAATTTCTGAAAACAAATTAAAGCCGTCATTAAAACATTTTATAAATTAACCAGCTTCAAACAAAATGAAAATCATTTTTATTAAATATTAATGAAACACGAGATTCCAACTAAGAAGTAAGCAACTTGAAGTACAATTGAGTCAGCTTATAATTTCAATAAAATTTAAAACTTATATTATCGTGTTGCAAAGTTTCATCTGTCTAATATCTATAATAAAACTATTTAAATTTTAATACATTCAAAACAAGCGCAGTTAGAAATTAAAATGACCAGTCTTTGGTTTACAACTATATTCAGGCAAAATACAAGGTAACCCCAAAAGTCCTTACTGCTTTTGATTTATTCGATATACAGAAAATTTAACAAATCGTTAGTCTTCAAAGTAATCCCCATCGGCATTTAGAACCTTTTGCCAATGTGCCCTTCAGCTGCGCAAAATCCAGGCGGTAAAAAATATGGTGTCTTGGACGAAAAGAAGTCCATTAGTGCCTGTCTCATTTACGAAGGATTTCCCACGAAGGTGGTTGTTCAGGTAATGGAAGAGGTGGTAATCTCTTGACACAAAGGCTAGGGTGTAAGGTGGATGGCACAGTATCTTCCAGTCAAGTCGCCGTATGATATCCCTGGCAACCCGCGCCACATAAAGCCTGGCATTGTCATGGACAAACAGTACACCCTTGTGATTAACCAATGCTGGCCCCTGCTTTAATGTCTGTTGCACACGTTCCAATTGCTGTGAGTACATATCCGCAGTGATGGTCTAACGTGTTGGTAGCAGATCATAGTCTACCATTTGTCGACTAGTCTACAAGGTACAGAGCATGGTCTTGCGTGGGTCTAGAGGTGGTCTTCTGGTGTGAGGCACATGGTCTCGTGGTGACAACCAATGTTTGACACGCTCGGTAGCGTCAGAATGGACCTACATTTCGTCACTGGTGAGCACTCGATCAAATATGAGTACATTGCGGTGCCGAGAAAGGAACGAGAAACTTGTTGGCTTCCGACAGTGTATGGGGTACCAACTTGCTCAACTTGTACGCATTCTCTATACTGCACAGGTGAAGTCTGTTTCATCAGAAACCGGGAAGCATTTTGCAAGTTCACCACAGGTTTAGCTGTTGTCCTCGAAAACCGCCTTCGGGGCCTCATTATCCAGGAACTGTGGACGGCCACTGCGGGCTTTAGCACAAAGGGACAGATTTTCTGGTCTGAACTTCTGAAACCAATTCCTGGTGGTGCGTTCCCTCACAGCATTATCACCAAAGGCTTGATGTATTCGGCGACTTTATGTGGCTGCGGACATGTCTACCTTAAAGTTATAAAGCAGACAACCTCGAACAAGCTTCTTTGACACCGCCATGTTTCTTCGATGCTATGACTGATGTGTTTGCACAGCATACATGCATTGGTCAAGAGCAATACCCCCACCTCTACCCCTTTCCTGGCAAGTGACACACTCATTTGCGTATCAGTGATCACTTCTTACCACACGACGTAAAAATCGGCAAGGACTTTTTTCTTACCTTATACATGTAATGAAAAGAAAAAAAAAAGAAAAAAAGAAAAGAAAAGGAAAAGAAAAGGAAAAGAAAATAAAAAAAAGAAAAATAAAAAAGAAAAAGAGAAAAGAAAAAGAAAAGAAAAAAGAGAAAAAAAAAAAGAAAAGAAAAAAGAAAAAGAGAAAAGAAAAAGAGAAAAGAAAAAGAGAAAAGAAAAAGAGGAAAGGAAAAAGAGGAAAGGAAAAAGGAGGAAAGGAAAAAGGAGGAAAGGAAAAAGGAGGAAAGGAAAAAGGAGGAAAGGAAAAAGTATAAACAGGAAAAGAAAAAGTATAAAAAGGAAAAGAAAAAGTATAAAAAGAAAAAAAGGAAAAAAGAAAAAGAAAAAAAGGAAAAGGAAAAAAGGAAAAGGAAAAAAAAAGAAAAAGAAAAAAAAGGAAAAGAAAAAAAGGAAAAAAGGAAAAAAGAAAAAAGAAAAAAAGAAAAAAAAGGAAAAAAGGAAAAAAAGGAAAAAAGAAAAAAAAGGAAAAAAGAAAAAAAGGAAAAAAGAAAAAAAGGAAAAAAGAAAAAAAGAAAAAAAAAGGAAAAAAGAAAAAAAAAGGAAAAAAGAAAAAAAAGGAAAGAAAAAAGAAATCCGTTTCTTAGTTTCAAGACGTTCACAATTGTGTAGCCATACAAATCAATGTGAATGGATTTTTTTCATTAAAAAGATAAGTAACTTATTTCCTGTTCAGTTACATTTTATTCTTTCATCACCAAAAAATTGCTTTTCATTTTTTAAAGCAATTACAGAACGTGCGTGCGTAGCACACCCGCGTCCTGGGTAAGACGATAAACTACGTCCAACAGCAAGGCCTCTGATCAGGAGGTTTTGAGGAGCGTGGAACCACCTCTTAATTGCTGATGTTCCCAGATCCACCCTGACTCTTCACGATGTTTAAAACTTGGAGAGTTGAGTTAAAGGGAGATATCTGGAAGAGGCATAGCACGTGGAACTAAAAAGCAATCTATCCCGGTGGACGAAATAAAAGGTTTAGTTCGAAATTCCAATCACCTGACGAAGGCTGGAGCGTACAACGGCCGAAATGTCGTGTATATGTCAACGAAAATGGGGACAACAGACGGAACAATGTAAATAGTGTAAATAATTACAATGCTTCATCTTGACAACGAAGATGAGGACAACATTCCGAACAATGTATTTTCCTGTTCATTCTTTACTTTTCAATAAATTTGTGCAAGTTTAAGCAAAACCGCAGAAAAATTAAAACTTCTCTAACATACAATGGCACACTAAATTAAACAATTATTAGTCTTGTATTTTGGCACAGACTGCCCTTGAATCCGTTGTATGTAGGCAAAATTCTGGTCTATTTTCACTTGCTGCCATTGAATTTACTACTATATTATTATTAAGCTATACTAATTTTGATGAAATATTGCTCGATAACAGATAAAAAAAATATTAACTCGAATCATTTGACCAACTAGAACATTCCTCTGCATATAGGGATGTGTGGGGTGTTTTGTTTTTAATTAGATTATCATTTTTTTTAATTTTATTTAATTAGATTATTTTTATTTTATTAGATTGTCATTTAATAGTTCTACTCCCGTGATTTCTTTAAATAATCTATTAATGTTATTGTCTTAATTAAATTTCACGCATATCTGAACAGAAACTTTGTAACTGGTAAATTTGGTTTTGTGTGGAGTCTTTTAAAGAGGCAAATTCAACATATTTTGTATTTTTCAGTCTGTAATTTGAATTTTTTTTTCTCGATCGGTCTGTATGTGAACACGAAAAATATACACTTCAATTTTTCTTTTTTTTTTTTCCTGTATCTGTTTGACCTACCCCCCCCCCAGTCCATCCGGCCAGAGGTATGAGAGAGTTGGGTATGAAATTTGAAAGATAATTTCTCTTTCTAAGTGACACCAACTTACCAAAAGTTGAGACATTTGGCTAATTAGAACATTTCTCTAGACACAGTAACGCGTGTTCAGGTTTTTAATTTGTTTACTTAACTTTTTCTTCTCCCTTGTCTTTAATAAAATAAATTACCAACAATAAAGATAGTTTTTCACTTGTTTTCATTTTATTATGTAACAACTTATATTAAGTTAAAATTCAATGGGGAACGGCGTATACATAATTATCCCTACCTAAATTCATATACTCTAATAATTCCTCGTGCTTTATATGTCTAACTCCTCTACCAACATTTCCAGATTTTATTTACTAATTTTTTCCATAATAGGTGTAGATACGTTCACATGTCGCCCAGTTCAAACTCCTTCCTCGTATTTTAAACAGGAGCAGAGATTTATAGTGGATCTAAGAAGGCCGCGTGAATATTTTAATATTTCGCTATCAATGAAACATGCAAAATCCACAAACAAATTTAAAAAAAAAAATCAAATGGTAACGATATTCAATTACAACAAAAAGGATATGCTTGGAACAACAAATATATTTTTATATGCAGAATATTACAATTTTGTTTTGTAAAGATGTGTGCGAAAGCTTGATCAGAGTATTTTAAAGAGAAAAGGTCTTGTTGATGGTTTTGGAAATGTTTCGTATGCTTGTAATGTAGTTTGGAAAATTTCGTACGTACGTGCATGTGTGCGTGTATGAATATAACCGCAATGGGGTCGTAACGCAGTTTTCTTTAAGGTTACATTTTCGTAGGCGAATTAGATCAAGAAATAAAAATGAAAGAACAAATTTGTGTCTGATATTTATAATTAACGTAATCACGTGACAGGTTCCCGGAAAAGAACCGGGAAAACTTGACTTGGTCACGCTCTGGAAAAAGACTTGTATGTGGGTGGATTGCAACGCCCACTTGTGTGTTTGTTGACCAATTAGAAGTTGAGATTTCCTGAAAATATGTATGAAGCTGCGTAAGCTCATTGATCCACTTTTTGCACAGATTTGTACAAAATTCAACATTGATAAGAAAGTGGTATCGGGATGCTATAGATTTATCCCAGGCTTCCTGTTTAGGAGTGAGGAGTTCCGGTTCCCTCTTCTGGGACCTTAAGAATGGCTGTCATTTGTCGATATGGCCGTCTGGAGGCTACGACTTTTCATATTGACGGTACAGTGTTGGCAGTTTTCTAATTGCTGCATCCAGACTAAGAACTAAGACCCCGAACACTTTTGCAGAGCTTAGAGAAGCTGCTCTGGTCGACAGTCGCATATTATCGGGGCTCTTGCAGTGTCATATCGCGCATAGATAGTTTTCTCTGAAAGCAGTTCCAGTAGGAAACTCCGAGGGAACACTATACTGCAGTCTTCGTCATCTATTATTTGTGATCTCTGCAGTCTTAAAAAAAAGTTTATCATATGAATACAGCGATTAATAAAAATAAATAAAGCAGATGGCAACCCCCAAAAAAAGAACAACCCCCAAAAAAAAAAATGAAAAAACAACAACAACAACAACAAAAAAAAACAGCAAAGCAGCAGCTCAACCTTTCTTTCTCCAACATTCGTCGTATTCCTACCAATTTCTGCAGTGTAGAATCATTTCTCTTGGAATGTTCTTTAGACATCCTAACTCTGTGAAATTTAACTTAAACTCTTCAGACTCTACTGCTGAATTCTCTGTTCTTGGCTATCTTCCTCTCTATCGAAAGGATTAAGGTCAAAATTTATAGCCTCGTTATCTGTGTGTAAATCCCCCAATAGCAAGGGATTTTTTTTTAATTTTGAAACTATTCTTATATGCGTTTCTGTCTAACTTATAAACACGGATAGTTATCCGTTTCCTTTATCGTTCCCTTTATTCTCAGAACTTAAATAGAATATCTGACAGAGCTCTCAAGCTCTCTCTCTCTCCATTCATCGGCAAATATCTTTGTGCTTGTTGAGTTCAATGCTCACTATGCCAAGTGGCTTCATCACTCTAATCACACTGAACTTGCCAACATCCAAACATTGAATTTCTCATTTGTTCGTCTCAGATTCGTTTCCCTAGTAATTCTGACAAGCAGGTTTCTTTATTTGATCTGTTCCTTAACTTCTCTCTGGACTCGTGTCACGCTTTGCATCTCCGTCTTTTTGACAACTCTGACCACGCGGCAGTTTCTGTGGATATTTTTTTCCGCTCATCTATTAGGCAAGAACCCCACTTAACCACAGGACATCTTTTTGTTACTAACGCAGCGACCGAGACTTTTTCCGTGATTTTCTTTGCGACACCCCTTGGAATGACATTTTTAATCTTCCCGTTGATAATTGTGTCACCGAGGTTAATCAATAGCTTTTGAATATATCGAACCCGATTGAAATTGGAACTGCTCTCCGATTTCCAATTTTAAGCCGTTATCCATTGCACCACCCGCACATTCAAGCTTACAGCACCTGGTACACTTAAAGCGGTCAACCATCTAAGTACTGACCAGATTCGATGTTACCGAACTTCGGTCGTACGCGAACCGGTGCTTGAATGTAATATGGCCGTAAGCCTTCAAAAGCCCGGATTTCAAAGTCTCTCGGTCTGCCAATCATGGCTAAGAATAAAACTTGGCTATGAATGGCATAAAAAGAGTCTGTTCGACATACCCTGTAGCAGTTTGCTATTGTCGTTATATGGTGGACTCTCCCGTCGTATTCGACGTATGAGGGTCAAGCAGTTCAGTTCCTAGAAACACCAGCACATTTGTATTTACTTGACTCCCAACGGAGTCAGGTTGTGACACAAGGTCAGTTTTTAACGTGTAGATCCGAGTGTCTTCACTCGGGCCGCTGGTCTTAGCTAGTTATAGCTGTTATTAGCTTGTTCAAGCTAGTCAGAGACGGTCCAAGCTAGTCATAGCTGTGATACTACCAGTGCATGGACGGATCCCTGTGACCGGTAAGTATCAGAATGTGTATACCACACGAGAGCGTGATTTACAACCAGCACATATGATTTGATTGTAGCGGTAAAGGCTTTGTGCAGAATCAACCACATGTCATCATATACAAAATATAGAATTAAATGAAGAGATACCTAGCAAGTATGAAAATCTGGACTGTATATTAATCAATATCTCATTTTCATTGAGTTAAATATTGTATGAATCCTTACCTCGATATGCGCATTGACATGATGTTCAGTTCGCCCTTTGTACACCCAATCACCTTTCATCACTTCTTCGATTTCAGGTATTGTCCACGTGGGGTCAATACCTTCGGCATGATACCACAGGTAAACCCAACCGTTGGCCTCTTGAATGGGCCAGGATTTCACCCGAGCAACATCAGGAACTGAAAAAAAAATGGCAAAAAACAATGTTATAAAATAAGTTACACACCAACTTATGTAGGGCGGTGAAAAGTTCTTCATCTAACCCACATTCTCCAAATCAGTATTTTGTTTGGTCAGTGAGTGGCAAAGTCTTTTCAGTACATCTTTATATGAAGAATGAAAAAAAAAGCAAGCAAAAAAGCGGAGATTGAAAATTCGCAGGAAAATAATTAAGAAAAAAAAAGGGTTTGGATATGAAAGCGAGAGAGAGGAGAGAGAGAGAGAGAGAGAGAGGGAGAGAGCGATGAACGAGTTTTGTCACAATGGGAACAATGCTAACGACGATGATCAACAGATGAAAAGAAATGGAAAACTCAATAGAAAATAATCCACTAAAAGCAGCTAGGAGTGAAATCCTCGGAGCTGAGAGTATTTACATGTGTGGATAGATCTGAAGGGGTTGATAGAGAGAGAGAGAGAGAGGTGTGTTTAGAAACGTTGAGAGAGAGAGAGAGAAAGGTGTTTAGAAACGTTCAGAGAGAGAGAGAGAGAAAGGTGTTTAGAAACGTTCAGAGAGAGAGAGAGAGAGAGAGAAAGGTGTTTAGAAACGTTCAGAGAGAGAGAGAGAGAGAGAAAGGTGTTTAGAAACGTTCAGAGAGAGAGAGAGAGAGAGAGAGAGAAAGGTGTTTAGAAACGTTTAGAGAGAGAGAGAGAGAGAGAGAAAGGTGTTTAGAAACGTTCAGAGAGAGAGAGAGAGAGAGAGAGAAAGGTGTTTAGAAACGTTCAGAGAGAGAGAGAGAGAAAGGTGTTTAGAAACGTTCAGAGAGAGAGAGAAAGGTGTTTAGAAACGTTCAGAGAGAGAGAGAGAGAAAGGTGTTTAGAAACGTTCAGAGAGAGAGAGAGAGGTGTTTAGAAACGTTCAGAGAGAGAGGTGTTTAGAAACGTTCAGAGAGAGAGGTGTTTAGAAACGTTCAGAGAGAGAGGTGTTTAGAAACGTTCAGAGAGAGAGAGAGAGAGAAGGGTGTTTAGAAACGTTCAGAAAGAAGGGTGTTTAGAAACGTTAGAGAGAAGGGTGTTTAGAAACGTTCAGAGAGAAGGGTGTTTAGAAACGTTCAGAGAGAAGGGTGTTTAGAAACGTTCAGAGAGAAGGGTGTTTAGAAACGTTCAGAGAGAAGGGTGTTTAGAAACGTTCAGAGAGAGAGGGTGCTTAGAAAAGTTCAAAGAGAGAGAGGTGTTTGTAGAAACGTTCAGAGAAAGAGAGAGTTATGTGTAGAAACGTTCAGTGTGAGAGAGAGTTGTGCAGAGGGAGAAGAGAGAGAGTTGTGCAGAGGGAGAAGAGAGAGAGTTGTGCAGAGGGAGAAGAGAGAGAGTTGTGCAGAGAGAAGGAGAGAGATTTGGTAGATACGTTATCTGAGTGAGAGAGAAAGAAATGGTTGAGACAAGTGAGAGATGTTAACCGTGATAAATATCTTGCCTGATATTTTTTTCTGTTAACTGGACAGCCTCAGGAAGTGCCCCCTTTTGACGTTAAAAGTAGACTTCCGAAAATAAATTAACAACCTTACGAGTTGTTGTTTTCTTTCAACAATCTTCTCAAACAAGGAAGGAAGCAAGGAAACGCAAAGCGCGATCTTTATCTTTTAATGTTCTCTTGAACAACAAGACAAAACAAAATATATATATATATATATATATATATATATATATATATATATACACACACACACAGACGTTCTAAAAAGTTCTTAAAAGTTGGTTGTTTGTGAAATGTCTGCTCCATAGAGAAAGAATAATAATTGTTTTGGTCTGTCCATAGCGCATAATTGTTTCTCGTTGCTAGCAAAAATAAAAATATGGATTGATTTAAAAGAATGATCTTAACTACACATGAAGATTTGAGAAATTCACAAGACGACGCTATAATCTGAAACTATTCTTTTTTTTTTTTCATTTCACAAGTAGCCTTTTTTCTTATTTGCCAAAGTGGACATTTGAAATCAGGGATTTTCTAATTAAGAAAAGATCATACTGATAGGTTGTTCTCAAACATTTGATTGAGAATTCAATCTTCATTGGTTCCCTATTTTGGTGGTCTTGAGTCAAACTATGATTAAGAAAAACATTTTAGAAGCAATTATATAATTGTTATAAACAAGATTTTACACTTATGGAATTATTATGCCCAAATCATTGAAATCTGTAAGCCTAGCATAGATATACCAGCATTTTACAGCGATTGAAATTATTAAATTATATAATAAAGTTTCAATTATTTCCAAAAGATACATATTTTGAGAGAAAGAGAGAAAGAAAGAAAGAGAGAGAGAAAGAAAGAAAGAGAGAAAGAAAGAAAGAGAGAGAGAAAGAAAGAGAGAGAGAAAGAGAAAGAGAGAAAGAGAGAAAGAGAGAAAGAGAGAAAGAAAGAGAGAGAGAGAGAAAGAAAGAGAGAGAGAGAAAGAAAGAGAGAGAGAGAGAAAGAAAGAGAGAGAGAGAGAGAAAGAAAGAGAGAGAGAGAGAAAGAAAGAGAGAGAGAAAGAGAGAAAGAGAGAGAGAGAGAAAGAGAGAAAGAGAGAGAGAGAGAAAGAGAGAGAGAGAAAAAGAGAGAGAGAGAAAGAGAGAGAGAGAGAAAGAGAGAGAGAGAAAGAGAGAGAGAGAGATAGAGAGAGAGAGAGAAAGAAAGAGAGAAAGAAAGAGTCACAAAGAGAGAGAGAGAGTCACAAAGAGAGAGAGAGTCACAAAGAGAGAGAGAGTCACAAAGAGAGAGAGAGAGAGTCACAAAGAGAGAGAGTCACAAAGAGAGAGAGAGAGAGTCACAAAGAGAGAGAGTCACAAAGAGAGAGAGAGAGAGAGAGTCACAAAGAGAGAGAGAGAGAGTCACAAAGAGAGAGAGAGAGAGAGAGAGAGAGTCACAAAGAGAGAGTCACAAAGAGAGAGAGAGAGTCACAAAGAGAGAGAGGGAGTCACAAAGAGAGTGATTGTCTCAAAGAGAGAGAGAAGGTGACACAAAGAGAAACAACTACTTGGCCCCGTTTTATACAGGGAATTTTTGACCTAGCCTACGGGCTCGGATACTCCACATTAAATTCGGCCTTGTGCCACATCTCCTGCAGTTGGCGATTCATTGTAAAATTCAGTTGACTACTTCTACGTACCGCAGGCGAATCTTATGTGTTGTTCGTTTCCTAATTATTATCTTTCATCACCAAACTTCGTGTGATTATTCTATTCAGTAATCTTCCCTAGGTTAGAACAATTAGCATATATGACAAACATAAAAGGCAAACGATGTAAAAGACTAAAAGTAAACAGCACAAAAACAGATAAATAAACAAATAAAACGGGAAAACGTCACAAAAATGCAAAAACAGCAGCAAAAACAACAAAAAAATGAAATAAAATAAATAACAAAAAAATTGAAGCAGCAAAAAAAACAACAAAAACAAAAACGAAACTAAAAAAGAAAAACGAAACAAAAAAAAACAAAAAAAAACAAAAACAAAAAAACAAAAACAAAAAAAGCAAAAACAAAACAAACAAAGCTATGCAAATTTATATTGTAACTAATGCATAGATAGTGTAAGTAGGGATCTTTCTATTGAGACAACTATGGAACTTGAATGGAGATGCAGCGAGCGGTTGTTCCTCAATATAAATTGTATTTAAAACGGCAATGTTGCTAAATATCAAATAACTGATACTTTCATGTAACGGCTAACATGTAAGGCGATTTGATAACGTAAAGAGTTCAACCCTTACTGAATTACTGCACTAGCCTCGTAAAGTTCTAAGCTAAGTTTAAAATAAAATTGATTTTCAAATCAGGCACAAAACAATCTTCCAATTCACATTTGGCCTTGGATACTGCACTCGGGTTAGTAAATAATGAGCAATACTTACTTTTATCAGAGTAGGGAATATAAGTACATTTGCCGTCGTCTCCTCGGAATCGCCACCCATGGAACGGACACTCGATGCAGTTGCCAAAGACTCTGCCCCCGACGGCCAGGTGAGCGCCCAAATGAGGGCAGTACGCGTCAAGCGCATGGGGATTGCCTTTGTCATCACGGAATACTGCAAAGTTGAGACCTGCCAAAAAGAAGACAACAAAAATTACTAAGACGGCAGTTGTGGTTCTTTATTAACATAATTACACCATGTAAAATCCCCGGTGTCTTGGGTTGGAACAACGATATTCTGTGTTACAAGTTGATGAGAAATTTACTCAATTACATTATGTGTGCTTTTGAGGAACGTCAAGGTGAACTGAAGTAAGTTTCATTATATATCTCAGTATTTTTGAGACAATCGAATGGCATATATATGTATATTACTAGCAGTAGAGCCCGGCGTTGCCCGGGGATGTAACAGTAAGAGATAGATCAAGTATCGACCATCATAAAGACTGAAAAATAAAATTGACAAAGATTATTGTTTAAGGTTGACGGACACGCATGTCTTAATTAGTTTTTTTTTTCTTGTTTTGTTTTTTTTTTTTTTTTACGAATTGGTCAAACCCAAACAAAAACATTGTTTTCAATCGTTATGAGTCTACCGATTGAATAGAATTTTATTATAAACAGTTGTCTTGTAAATGGAATTTTTAAAGCATTCTGAATGTAAAAATAAAGAAAAAAGTGTGCAAGACAATAAGAAACACTACCTGCCAAAAAAAGTGAAGTTTTGTTGAAATCGGTTGAAAAATGTAGGAAATCCGATCCCATATATAACCGAACACACACACAAACAACCTGGGTTTTATAAGTATAACTCGATATGAGTTGTCCCCCTTTCATTCCGTGAAAGCGATGCCTCTTAATCGTGTTTTCAAATTGTTTTCGTGCAAAAACAATTGTGTTTTTCCAATTTTGGGCGCTGTCAGAACCACCGCAATGTAATTTTATGCAGTCCTGTGAAGTTTTGTTGAAATCGGTTGAAAAATGTAGGAAATCCGATCCAATATATAAACGTACACACACACACACACACATATATATATATATATGAGAGAGAGAGAAGGGACTCAGTGAAAGAGAGAGAGAGTATGTGGGAGAAGGGACGCATGGTGGGAGAAGGGACGCATGGTGAGAGAGAGTATGTGGGAGAAGGGACGCATGGTGAGAGAGAATATGTGGGAGAAGGGACGCATGGTGAGAGAGAATATGTGGGAGAAGGGACGCATGGTGAGAGAGAATATGTGGGAGAAGGGACGAAGTGAAAGAGTATGGGAGAGAGTGTGTGTTAAAGAAGGGGTGCAGAAAAAGAGAGAGAGAGTGTGTGTGTATCGTGGGGGGGGAAGAAACAGAGAGGGAGTATGGAAAAGAAGGGACAGAGAATATCTGAGAGAAGGGTCGCAAATAGAGAGAATGTGTGAGGGTAGACAAGGGATGCGGAGAAAGAGAGAGACAGTATGTGTGCGGGGAGTAGACAAGGGACGCAAGAGTGTGTAAGTGTGTGAACAGAGCAGAGAGAGAGAGAGAGAGAGAGAGAGAGAGAGAGAGAGAGAGAGAGAGTGTGTGTGTGTGTGGAAAAGAAGAGACGCAGAAAGAGTGAAAGAGAGGAGGCGTAGAGTTAGGTGAGAGAGGATGTAGCGAGAGAGAGAGACAGAGAGTATGTGTGTGTGTGAGAGAGAGAGAGAGAGAGTGTGTGTCTGTAGAATAACATTGATTACATAATTCTGAATGTACCACATTTGACTGAAGAGAAAATTCAATTTGGAGGTTTCTTCCGAGTTGGTTAGGCTCGTTAAAACTAATCTACTCCGACGAAGGAAAATTATCTTTCCCAGTTATTTAGATGAAAAAAAAAAAAATGCACTAAGTAATTTCATCGCATGAGGGCTCAATGTTATCAATTTCTGATGAGCTGACATTATATAAACTTGTCTGTACTTACGTGTCTACTAATCAGTCTTTGTTATATTGTTTTATTCTCATTTATTGCTGTATTTTAGTTTCCGATTACATTTCTACTCTGTCGTTCACTTCCATTGAACAAAGAAGGAACTTATTAAATATTTAAAAAGCAGAATTAATACAAACCGCCAACATCTCCACAGCAACATTCTTATCTTTCTTCCGTCATCAATTCCACGTTCTGTGTTTCTTTTTTCCTATTATTAATCCCTTCTATTCTCTACTCCATTTATTCGAAACGGAGTCGTTTTGTAGAATGGGTGAACTAGGCGATATTCTCCCGTACAATTTACAAGGCGCAGTCAGTGACTTTATCAAACTGGCGGAGTGCCTACCAAAATAACTAAGTACAGTTACTAAAGGACCCTCTATAAATTATTTGTTCGTTTTTTTTAAAAATAAACTTCGGTCATGTGCATCTTCCGCAGTAGCATCACTTATTGTATTTACGACCCTCTGCTCCACAAAAGAACAGGAAAAAAAATTAAAAAAAAAAAAAAAAAAAAAAGGGTTTAACGGTCAGTTTTGATACTATCTTATAATTCTGTCTCTCCCTTAGTTAGCACGCGCTGCCAATACCTCATAAATAATGAACTGTTCCGTTTTGATCGCATGGAAAAGATATAGGAATGTGTGAGAGACAGTGTGTGCATGCGTGAGTGAGAGAGAAACAGGTGTTGTGCTCCCGCCAATATCTCATAAATAATGGACTATTCCGTTTTGATCACATGGAAAAATATATATATATATATATATATATATATATATATATATATATGCGTGAGTGAGAGTACGTGCGCGCGTGAGTGAGTCATCAGAGTGACTGTTTGAAATTTATTTTCATGGTCAAGTTTTCTTAAAAGTCAGCTTCATATTCTATTGTAGAAATGCTACTTAAAGAATCGCAGATTTCACTAATTTTAAGTTATTTCTATGTATATGGAACATAACGTCTTGTGTTACGTTTCGGTTTAAATTTTATTTTTTTGCAAGTACGATTGGCTGTCGGGAATGTATTTGTGAGTCATTGTGTATTTAGAAATAACAGTTGATATATCGCATGGCAAATCTGAGTTTTTCATATTCTGGCAATGAATCGGAGAGTGAGTCAAGATAATTTCAAGATGGTGACGAAGACAGCAGAAGAAGGATTGCCTTGAAGCGAATGACAAAATATCTCGCGGGAAATGTCTTTGTCAGGATTTCTTTTTTTATCACACGAGCAGTAAATTGGACACCGATTTAAAAATTCATAGATGGTGAAAAAAAGACAGAGAAAATAATCATTATTCTGGACTGACTGACCAGATTTTTTCGCTGATATAACATCACAAACATCCAGATTCCTAAGAAAACTTTAACGCTTCCTGCAGGTTTGGATTCTTTCGGAGAGCGTACATTTTTCTCGAATATTCAGGCCGGTAAACGAAAATAAATATGCTGTTTAAACAAATAAACAGAACGTCTACTCAGATATGAGTATCAACTAAAAATAACATTTAAAGTGATTTAATCTTAGATTAATAAATAAAAAATCCATTACTTCTTTTAAAATTGCTTTGTTTACGTATAAATGCGAAACTGAGCAGACATTAAATTTCGAGAATCCAAGACGATGATGATTTCACTTAAAGACGCTATGCAGCCTGACTTGATCGGCAAAAATTCTTTGTGGTCGTGTCGGTGTAAGCATATATAAGCCCTATTACAAAATAGCTATTATACAAAATTTAATAAACCGTGCAAAAGTTAACTCTTCCACGAAAAAAAAAAACAAAAAAAACAAATTCCACACGGAATCAAAAAGATTAAGCAAACTCATTAATAATAATTTTCCTAATTAGATCGTTGATGAAGAAATTAGACGAGCCATTAGAAATATTAACATAAATAAAAAAGAACATAACACTTCCTCAAATAACCCAAAATATATCAACTTACTGTACAGTAATCAAATGCATTCTAACTATAAACAAAATGAAAAAAAATCTTTAAAAATCTCACAGGTACTAATATTTACATTGTTCTAGTTGATGAGGATAACAGTCGGAACAATCTACCTCGGTGGACGAAATAAAAGGTTCCAATCACCCGAAAAAGGCCGGAACGTATAACGGCCGAAACGTCGTGAATGTGGCAATGAAGATGAGGATAACAATCGGAACAATGTAAATGATTATAATACCTCATCTCAGAAATATAGACAGGTACTAATATATTCCACACTAACACCAATATACTGCACAATGAAAATAATAATAAAAAAACTTCAAATTCTCGAGATCTTCTATATAAAAACAACCAACACTGAACAAAATTTATTAAGCGTATAGTAGCAATGTTTTAAAATGCATTTAACTAACATTTAACGCCATGTTGCATTTTTACCATCTTTGGTTAGATCGCTTACACTGTAGACGCGTTTTTTTATTTTTTTAAAACAAAAAAATAAAAAAAACAAAAAATAACCAACAACATCAAAACTACAACAGGTAAATTTAAAATGTTAAAATAATTATAACAGAGCGCGTTCAGGTGTGTTTACAAGAATCACCATCGCAACAGTTACATTAAGTTTGTCTTCGTAATTCACCCCCCCCAATGGTGATCTCGGAGGAGATCGAAAGTACTTGGGATAACAAAAACTACGGCGCCATCCTTGCTGAATTTCAACTTTGAGAACTAGAAAGGATTATTATAAAAATCGACATAATAGTATGTCTATATTATTCAACGAAAAATGCTTGAATGAAGATATGCTGTATGTATGTATATATATATATATATATATATATAGGGCCCTAGAGACTTTTAAAATTAAAATCAATACATTCCTTGTTTTTAAAACTATACCCAAGTATATCACTTGATAAGATACCAAAAGTGTTGAAACAAAATCATTATTTTTTATAGTGATTTTACATTTCTATGTTATAATTTTCGAATAAATGATTATATTTGCTCTACTCTGTATTGAGCACTCTTAAGAATAGACTTTGTTGGTTATTGGAATCTATTCCGTATACACCAATCATATATATATATATATATATATATATATATGTATGTATAAGAAAAAGGTATATATATATATTTTAGATATCGAGAAAAATTTTATGGGAAAAGAAGTATCAAAAAGTAGAAGAAAGCTTTAATGCGACGCGTTTCGCCTTTTAGGATTTCATCGGACTAAATTTCAAATACTAAATTGAGGTTTACGTTGAGGCGGCTATACATACTCACGACGGAAAGAGGGCATTGAGAATTCAATTTTCTTTTTTAAATATACGTTTTACAGTTGAGGGAGAAAAGATCTATACTTTGTTTCCCCAAGTGCAATATTGCAAAGTTCAAATTCTCGCCTAGTATGGTGCATTCGATTTTGCATTAATCTCTTCTCCTCCAGCTATAGGTTAAATATCAGGGTAAAGTGGGCTATTTAGCCTTGGGGGACAGCGAGTCTAAAAGAAAGTAATCTGAATTCGAAGCAGTAGAGATAACAACGAAAAAAAAAAATCTTTCCCCAAAAGTCATGGAAATTAACAGATATTAAAAAATAAACCAGAAAGAAAAGCCGAAAAAGAGAGAAAGAAAGAAAAGCCGAAAAAGAGAGAAAGAAAGAAAAGCCGAAAAAGAGAGAAAGAAAGAAAAGCCGAAAAAGAGAGAAAGAAAGAAAAGCCGAAAAAGAGAGAAAGAAAGAAAAGCCGAAAAAGAGAGAAAGAAAGAAAAGCCGAAAAGAGAGAAAGAAAGAAAAGAAAAAAAAGAGAGAAAGAAAGAAAAGCTGAAAAAAGAGAAAGAAAGAAAAGCCGAAAAAAAGAGAGAAAGAAAGAAAAGCCGAAAAGAGAGAAAGAAAGAAAAGCCGAAAAAGAGAGAAAGAAAGAAAAGCCGAAAAGAGAGAAAGAAAGAAAAGCCGAAAAGAGAGAAAGAAAGAAAAGCCGAAAAAAGAGAGAAAGAAAGAAAAGCCGAAAAAAAAAGAGAGAAAGAAAGAAAAGCCGAAAAAGAGAGAAAGAAAGAAAAGCCGAAAAAGAGAGAAAGAAAGAAAAGCCGAAAAAGAGAGAAAGAAATAAAACGCTATGTTTGGTCATTTGATTAGATATTAGCAAGTTGATGAAGCCGAGAACTTTTCTGCACAAACTTGTAAATACAGCATTCACTGTCTTTTTTTTTTATTAATTACTTTCATTTAATAACATTTATGTCAGGATCGAAATTGTGGATAAGCTATTCAAAGTTCATGTTCTTTTTTCAACCCTTTCCTACTTGGATTATATATTTTTCTATGAACGCCATTTTAATGGATATACGCGTTTGAGTGAATAGCCATGTTTTTTTTTTAAGCAGTAAAATTAATATTTCACTTACAAAAGAAAGAAAAAAATATTGAAAACACAAGGGATAGGGTGATTAGCTTACGTAAATGGAGAGTAGAACAAAGAGTATGAGGAATGGTAAAAAGACACTGCCAAGAGTTACAAAGGATAGGAAATTGTGGAAAGCCATAATCACCCACGTCCTGAACGGACACAACACATAGAAGAAAAAGAAGAAATTAATATTCATTAATATAAACACTGAGTCTCATGAAAGCTGAAACGTACATTTTCTTTAATAAAATGTTCTTCGTCTAGGCTGGTAGATATTAATTTCACTGTTTGAGTGAATATTACTGGTTTTTTTTCTTCAAATGTGCGCATCCACTAAAATAGACGTTTATAGTAATAAAATAATGTTGGATTAAAATCCATTAATGCCTTATATACAAGTTGTTAGTAGAAGCTATTGGTTTGGAAGGCATAATCGATCCTGTTGTTTTTATATAAAAATAAGAACATGGCGAATTAAGACGAACAGTGAGATTTATTTTTTGACAAGTTTCAACAAGTACGAGGAACTTGAATAGGAGAATCAATTAATCACTTTTCTACAGACTCGGATTTTGGGGGTTGTCAAGATAAAAAACAAAGTAAATATAAATTAAAAAATAATAATAGGAGTTAAGATCATTTTCAAAAGATGAACGGAACAGAAACAATGTCAGCTTTGTGAAAAAAAAAAAAAAAAAAAAAAAAAACCCAAAGGAAACAAACCAATCAAACTACAAAACACTGTCATCTTAATTTAAAACAAATTAATCACTAAAGTATTGTGCAACAAAAGACTTCATAACGTAATGGTTTCAATTGCAAGTGTCGTTTAATGAAAGCGGATCGGAAACCAGACGGTTCAATCCTGTGTCAAGCAAACAGTGTTCTTTTAACTACAAAATTATCTAAAAATAGGTACCGTATTTGTCCTCACATAAGACGCTATTTTACAAGGCTATTTTGTTGAAAAAAAAATATTGAAATATATTTTAAAGTGGTTTCATTTTGTTCCTGCAAAGACAATATTTTAACAGTAGACTGAAATAAAGTATGAAATCCTATATTGTAACGTTATTTTTCAAAGGAAACTTAATTAAATTTGCCAAAGCAGAAAGAAATTCTGGTACATTTGTACCAATGAATACTGATAAATATAAACAAAGCAAAGTGAAAGCAATCAGTAAAGTACAATAAATGTGAATAAATTCTTATAGATAATTACAGCATATGCAAAACAAAGCAAAATACTTCATTAATTATTACCAATGGTATACAACATTCAACAGGGGGAAAAAACTGAATGCATTCAAACAAGAAAATGGCATTTCAGCAAACAGTATAGACTACCATACATACTTGATTAAAACAATTTACTCTAAGTACCTCCACAGTAACGCGATACCTAAGGTTTAAAATGAATTTTTAAAAATGAAATATTTTTCTTAAAGCGTTCATTTTAGCTTTAAAAGATAATAGAATAAATTTAATATTTCGATAAGCAAATTACTAATTTAAGGAGTAAAGGAAGGAATTTTCGTTTCCAAATTACTAAAATCGCTGGTTTTAGCGCCATTTTGGCCATCTTTCATCGCAATATAATTCTCTTTATTAAAAAAAACATCTTTCAAAAATAAAATATACATTTAAGAAATTTTATTTGAGAAATATTAGCTGATTTAGGGTACAATTAATCTGATTTGGAACTAATATTACTTACTTTCAGTTTAAAATCAGAAATGCAGTCTTTTAACATGGCGGTAGCTGTTTATTTAAAGTGTTGACAGCTTGACTGACAGAAGTTTATCTATTTTTTTTATACGATGGATATATCTGTAAAATTTACTTGAGGAATATAACGTGAGCGTCTTTTTATATAATTTTGACTATAAAGTGATCTTTAAACTTCAGGAAAATATTCTCTGTACTGAAATGTTTCACTGAATTTGAGGTACTTTGGCTTGAAATTTACCATAGTTACCGCTCTTATTTTCTAATAATGTTGTGTATGGATGTCTCTATTTCGAAAAATTGGCACGTTTATACACACGCAAAAAAATTCAAAATTCGTTTTCAAATAAGCTTTTTCATTTCTGATTAATAAATATAGTTTTCACTTAACAATATCATCTTACTGGGACAAAGTAATGCAGAAATTTAAAAAAGTTTAAAACTTTATAAATTATTCTAATGACAATTTAAAAAAAAAAAAAATGAAAACAATTTTGGTAAAAATTCATTAATTATCGATTTTTTCTTTCTTAAGGTAATAATGTCCATAATATATCTTATTCATAAAAACAAAGTTTTTCTAATTGAATAATATCTTATTTTAATTATATATTTTATTTTACGATTCAGTGAAGATTTTCTGTAACGGGGCTGGGGTCATGTTTGACAAAAAAATTGATTTAAATTCAACGACTTGTTCTTATAAACATTAAGCGCTAAAAAATGAATTTCTCAAAATTTCATAAAATTAAATATGTGTGTGTGTGTGTGTGGGGGGGGTAACATACAAAAATGAAGAAATTACAAAGGTCTCTAAAAAGGAAACGTTTCTAAAACGAATTCATCCATTTATGAATAAATATTGAAAGTTTCATTAAAGTCAGACGATTATCTTTTTACAAGAATTTTCAATGTTTTTCACCGCAAAAAGACGCTCATATTCCCTGTACCAGTTTATACCCCAACCCCCTGTAGATTCAGATTTTTTTCTTCTCTTACATTGGGTGCCATCCATTGTTAGAGAGGCCAGTCTACTTTGCTATTTAAAGTTGGTGGTGGGAGAAGAGTGGGTTCATGCATTTCTCAAGTGCATTTGTACTAAAGTGAACAGACGATACCGATATTTGAACTTTCCGTGCCGATAAGCATTATGCTAATTGAACATATGATGGTTCTTTTATCAAAAGGTATAAAAGAAAACACACTTCCCTATAGAAGTTATGTTGTAAAGAATGGCGGTATATTCACACGTGACGTATTAAATATATTTTCCAAATATTAATCTGTAACAATTCCGAAGAAGGAACAGTTTATTACTTAATAACAAAAAAAATAAAACTGATCCCCCACTTTATGAACAACAGAGTCTTGTATCAATACTAGTTTAACCATAGCAAAAAGATAGGTCTTTTCACCTTCCCGCTTGGTAAACATCTTCAAATAGTTCACCATTGTAATGTTATAAAGACACTAACACTTAGAGAGCAAGTGTAATGGAGTAAACTATTTAATTTCCTCGCACCAGCGACATTAAATATAAAACTATTTGGTGTATTATATTGTGCGAGTCTATCACGCACGAACATACATACATACATACAAATACAAATTATATACAACGCCAAGCATTCATTAGTTAATTAGTCACCACTACATTATCATAGACAATTTAAAAATCGCAGCAATGCGACAATTTTGTAATCGTTCTATTTTCATGTAGTCAGTTTTGTGCACTTTTGGGAGAAACGGATCACAGAAGCTTTCTTAAGTCTCCCCAAAACTCGCTCGCTGATTGGTCTATGCCAACCAATCAAATCTTCTGCACGTGAAGAATAATTCTTCCCGCGCAGCGATCTGGAGCCTATAGTCATTTATTTAAGCAAGAATTTTTCTTAGCTAATTAGTGAGAATTCAGCTGCCAAACGAATCCACGACAGTTGAAACCGTGCGCCAACCTTCTCACTCACACACACACACACCACTCACAGGCTGAACATACCTTTTATACACTCACATAATCTTTTCCAACACGGCAAATCTTTTTTAAGAACAGTCATTATAAGAGACTCTTATGAACATTATTCCAGTGAACTTTGAAATACTAAAATAACAGATAAAAAGAGAGACAACTCTTGCTTATTTCAACCTTTGCTTACTTAAATACATGCTTTCTTTCACATCGTTGTTTGATATTGTACATCTTGTTAAATACATATTTTATGTGTAACAATGTCTTTGGCTTATCCTTTTCTGCGTCAGCCCTGTTTACTAATCTAAAGTTAAATTAATGTGAAGCCCGCCACAATATAGTAAAATATCTAATTTTTGTGTGCGAAGGTTTCAGATCAACGTAAAGATATTCGACGAAGAAAATTTAATTAAAGAGGACATAAATGGAAAATAACTCCAAGTGTTGGTGATAAGAAAATAGGGGAAAAAAAAGGTAAAACAAATGTCCTCAGTTTTGAGTGGATCACATTCTATCATTGAAAAGTCCTTGAAACATTTTTTTTTATTAAATCAAGACATTTATCCTTATGGAAACAAAAGGACTGAATGTGATTTATTTATAAATAAACCAGTCACAGTATTGACATGCATGTATTTTTCCACATATTTCCCTTTTTAGTTAATGCACACAATATTTCTATTTCCTCGATCGATTTCGGACAAATGTGAAGCGATAACCGTGTTATTAATAATCAAGAGTGGTCTCCCATGGTTTCGTTACTCTCCTCTTTGAGAGAGCTATTTCTGTTTACTGGGACTATAAGAGTACACTATACGCGAACATTGTATTCTCAGTTGAATAAAGCTTTCTTAAAGCCTACACCTACGTACTTTTGTTATTACAAACCAGTTCCTCAGTTCATAGGAATTTTTCTTTTCTCTCTTCTGATTTTTGTGTTGTCAATTATTGTAGTTGTTTTTATTTTGCCTCTTTCAATTATTTGTTTTATTTTATTGCCTTAAGTTTAGCTGAATCCGACACA